TCCTAGATGGTTTTAAGCCCTTATCTCTTATCCCCCCTCCCCCAGTGCTGGGGCTTCAACCCAGGATCTTTACACTCAGGCACATCTCCAGCCTCCTTTTTTATTTTGACACAGAACCTCCCTAAATTGCTAAATTTCTCAAGCTGGGCTTGAATTTTCGATCTTCCTGCCTCAGCCTGCCAGAGTGCTGGGATTTTAGGTGTGAACCACCACACTGGATTTTATTTTTACCAAAGAACTGACTGAACAGCAGCACTGCTCCCCAAGGATGCTTCCTCTCAAGTCAGGGCATCCCCCTTGGCCAAGCAGGCAGAGGCTGAGAGGCTCTAGGAGCCAGTGTAGATGCCCACCAGGGAACCCAGCCAGCTTGTCAGATTCCTCACTGTGGGCCATGGCTTAACTTGTCCCTGGATGGAATCTGTACACTATTCCAAAACCGGACAGAAATGCACGTGGAAATTTCATATGTGATCGAGGCAGCACTGTTCGCTTTATGAAACAGATGGATTATGTAACTGGCAGGGTTCGATGCAACTGGATAAGATAAAATGAAGCTGGAATTGTAACTGATTACTCATGTGGAAATAAATTCCAAATGGATGTGGGGTAGGATGGCATGTGTCTGTAGTCCCAGCTCTCAAGAGGCTGAGGCAGGAGAATGGCTGTGAGTTTGAGGCCAGCCTGAACTACAGAGTGAGACCCTGTTTCAAAAAACCAAAAACCATGGGCTGGGGATTTAGCTCAGTGGTTCCGCCGCCTGCCTCACAAGCGCAAGGTCCTGAGTTTGATCCCCAGTACCAAAAAACCCCCCAAAAAACAAAAACTCAAAAAACCAAAAACCGAAAGAACAAAAACAAAAACAAAACAAAAAACCATGCCCAAAGTCAAAATGCAAACAATATGCTGGAAAAAAGAAAAATTCAAACACATATTTATGCCATGGGGCTAATTTTTTCAATGTAAAAAGGAATGACTATAAATTAATGAGAAAAGACTAACAGCCTGAAAAAAAATGACCAAAGGACATAATCAGCTTGATCAAAGAAATGCAAATGTGTTTTAAACATTAAAATTTGCTAAATATCATTCATAACCTTAGAAATGTGAATTAGACTTACTCTGAGATTTTTTTCACTGCAAAACTGGAAACTGTCAAAGACACAAAAACTTGAGAACACAAAATATTTCCACAGTAAATTGGCCTTTTTACCTTCAGCTGGGAAGAGCACAGATATAGTATTTCTGCGAAGTGTGTTTAGGAAATATTTATCCAAGCGGTGGATGAGAAAGCAGCTTACAAAAGCATGTGCATGGCATGGCATCATTTAAGGAAGTTTTATCCCTGTAGGATGCTCAGTGACCCCAAGCCTGAGGCTGAAGCTGCCAGGATATTTCTAATTTAAAAGAAAACAACGACAGGGCCGAGATTTAGCTCAGCGGCACTGCACCTGCCTTGAAAGCGAAAGGTCCTGAGTTCCACTCCCAGTATCCCCAAAAAACCTCAAGACAAAACAAAAAACCACAAAACAATGACAGGCAAATTTCATAGTATATAAATTATGCCTCAGTAAAATTGAGTGTAAAACTTAAAAATATAGCTGACCAAATACCATATTTGCTGGGCCGGGGATTTAGATCATTGGCGCCGCATCTGCCTCGCAAGTGCAAGGTCCTGAGTTCGATCCCCAGTACCAAAAAACAAAAACAAAAACACAAAAAACCCATATTTGCTCTATTTTATTAAACAAGAAGAAAATGAGACATCCTGTTTGATCTGGAAAATGGCCTCGGCAATCTGGTAGTCATACGCCACCTGGTGGCCAAAATAGGCACTGCTAGCCAGGTGCATTGGTCTCTGTCCTCTTTCTCCTGGCCCCCTTCCCACCCAATTGAAACTGAAACTTCCCACGGAGCTACATCCTCAGCCTTTTTTATTTTTTATTTTGAGACAGGATCTCACTAAACCACTAAGTTGCTCAGGCTGGGCTCAAACTTGTGATCCTCTCCCCTCAGCCTCCCACAGTGGAGGGATTACAGATATATGCTACCACACAAGTTTGTTTTCTTTCAGATGGGGAAAGTAATTCATACTTTGAACTGTTGGCAAGACCAAGCCCATACCTACTTTATACCAACTATTACTAGTTTCAGATTCTGTGTTTCTCTGCTTTGATCTCTGTCTACCTTTAATTGTGTCTATTTTGTCCTTTAGGCTTTATTTATGCTAAGTAAATATTGTGGAAGATTCCTAATTAGTTTTTTTTTTTTGGTACCGGGGATGGAACTCAGGACCTTGCGCTTTCAAGGCAAGCGTAGTGCCACTGAACTAAATCCCTGGGCCTTTTTTTTTTTTCCTGGTACCGGGGATGGAACTCAGGATCTTGCACATGTCAGGAGGCACAGTGCCACTGAGCTAAATCCCCAGCCCCTAGAGCTTTTTAATTTTTTGAAAAAACATTTTATTTTCAGACAGGATCTTGCTAAGTCACTAAGTTGCCCGGGCTGGGCTGGAACTTGCAATCTTGCTGCCTCAGCCTTCTGAAGTACTGGCATTACAGGCCTGTACCGCCACACCAGTGCACCAGAGCAAATCTGCCATCAACAAAGGGTGTGTACTCCTTTGTGTTTGAGTTGAGAAAATGGAAGCCTCTATGTAATGAGCATCTGCTGTGTGCCAAGCACTCCCCATAATGTCACCTCTAAGAGTTCCAAGTTCTCAAGTGTGCGGCTTCGAGGATGGGCTTTTGAGCTCGCTGGGGCGGGTGGGGGTGTCAGAGCATTTGCTACCTGCAGTGAGACTCAGGCCTGCAACACTGCATGGAAGCTGCCCTGCAGGAGTAGGTAAGGACAGGCCCAGAGCTGGAGCACTGTTTCAGGCTCAGGCTTTTTTTTGGTTTTGGTACCGGGGATCGAACTTGGGTCTTTGTGCTTTTGAAGCAGGTGGTGAAACCACTGAACTAAATCCCTGGCCGGCCCTGGCTCAGGTTTGTGAGGACAAGGTGCAGGCATGGGAAGAGAGAAACGCCAATTCATCTGACTTGGATGCTACACAGCTTCAGGGTGAAAGGAAATATATCCTACTAACAGTGGTGACCTGAGGTTCTAGAGGTTGCTTTTAGGAGGTCCACAGCACATCCTGGCCTTGTGAAGTTTGGGGGGAGTTGGGTGCCAAGCCGTCAGCATTCCTTTGGGGCTTTGCCAACAAAAGTAACCTAAGAACAGAGCTGAGTGACACAGTCCCCGCTGGGAGCCTCCCTTGTGCCCCTCTTGAAGGTGCTGTATTTTTCCATTCTGGGAAATTCTTGAAACTGCAGTGACTCACCTGCATCAAAAGTAAATCCCAGGTCTCCTCCCTTCTCTGTCCACACCCAACCTCAGCCAGGTCAGAACTACTCGAGTCATCGAGTCTTCGAGTCATCTCATGGTGATCCAGGGATCAGTTTACCTGAGGCTCCTGCCCTTCATTGTCATTGGTTAGAATGATTTTGGGTACATGGAGGTCTCTCTGGTACAGGATCGCCAGAATCCTGTCTCAAAACAATCTCCCCCCCCCCCGAAAAAAAACATAGAAGTCAAGATCTGGGTGCTAAGTGTACTCATGGCTGCTAAAATACTTGTTTGTTTTATTTTTGTTTTAAATAAACAATTAAAACAGTAAAGAGTAGTTTAAAGATTTAAGTAAATCAGCCTCTAAACACCATCAAGAGGTGAGGAAGTTTAATGTCTGTAAATATCCTTTCAGAATCTCTTACATAGCCGGGTGTGGTGTTACTTGCCAGTAATCCCAGCAATGGGGAGGCTAAGGCAGGAGGATTGCTTCGAGTTTGAGGTCAGCCTGGACTACATAATGACCTCAAGCTCAGCCTGAACTACCTAGTGGAATCTTTTCAAAAAACAGGGCCAGGGATTTAGCTCAGTGGTTCCAGCGCCTGCTGAGCAAGCACAAGGTCCTGAGTTTGATTCCTGGTACCGGCGGTACTGAAAAAAATACAAAACCAAAAAACAGGGCCAGGGATTTAGCTCAGTGGTTCTGCTGCCTGCCTCACATGCACAAGGTCCCTAGTTTGATCCCCAGTCCAAAAAAAAAAAAAAAAAAACAAACCAAAAAATTACCCAAACCACACTAAACTTATAGGTACTGTGTGTTGTATGAATAAATCTATCTGTAAAAAGGGAAGTAAGTCATAATAGTACCTAGGGGTGTTATGAATATTAAATGTGATAATACTGTACGTTTAAAGAGCTTGCAACATAGTACCTAGGGTAATACTTAATTACAATTTGTCTAGTATGCTTAGTTGGCTGTGTCCCCAGGAGAGGGGTGGAGAGTTCTCCAACTTTTTGGGAGTGCAGTTATGATTAGCCTTCTTTCCTCTGAGGCAATCTCCTCAAAGAGTTCCTGGTTTCTCAACAAAGAGTTAACTGGTTCCTCAAGGCAGGAAGTCAAAAGGATAAAGGGGGGCTGAGGATTTAGCTCAGTGGTTCTGGCACCTGCCACGCAAGCGTAAGGTCCCAAGTTCGATCCCCGGTACCAAAAAAAAAAAAAAAAGGATAAACAGGGGTAGCCTCCCCCCTCCCCGTTTTGTGGTACTGGAGATTGAACACAGGGCCTTCACACTGAGCTACATCCCCAGCTCTTTTACTTTTTTTTTTTTTTAATTTAGAGACAGTGTTGCTAAATCGCTAAATTGCTGTACTTGAATTTGCGAACCTCCTGCCTGAGCCTCCCAGTGCTGAGATTACCGCAGTGCGCCGTCAGGCCCGGCTCCGAGCCCTAACTTTTGCCGAGAGCTTTCTCCCATTCCTCTCCTGCTCCTCAGCGGTTACCCTGGAAATAGTTTCTTTAGCAACAGATGCCTCCTGTAGCCCGCTTACTCCACCAGCATTACGCCACCAGCATTACGCCAGGAACAGCACCTATTAAAGCCTCTGTAAGAAAGCCCGAGTAAAGTGGGGACTAGGTGGTGGTGGGGAAATCCTTTTTTTCCGCGGGCGCTCTCAGCCGCAGACCCTCGACTATCGCGATAGACGAGTGAGATCGATGCTGGCCCTTTAACAGCCCCTTCCCCGGGGCCTGCCCAGCGCGTGCGCACTGCGGTTCTGCGCTTGTCATCATGGCGACGCGGGGCCATGTGCAGGACCCTAACGACAGGCGCCTCCGGCCCATTTACGGTGAGTGCGCAGGGCCAGCCTGGTCGTCGGCCCGACACGTCCAGAGTTGCCGAGGCCCAGGCGAAGGCCCAGGAAGGGCGTTGAGGGGGCACTCTTGGAGCGGGCAGGCGTGCAGGGGCGGGCCGCGCGGGCCACTAGGCCGCAGCCCCGGGCCTCGCGTAGGTGCCAGCCCGGTCTCCCTGAGCTTCTGGACGGAAAGGCGCGTCCCGGGCAGCAGCGGGTGGGCCGAGGTGGGCTGACAGGCAGACCCGATAGGAAGCATCCTGTGTACGTTCCCGCACTACTTGTGGGCTGCGTTGCTGCAGTCGCTCCGAGAGGACCCCGCGGTCTCTCTGCAAGTGGAAACCTGTTTTGGCGAGAGGGTGGTCCAACCAACCCGAGGAAAAAATTCTCTGCTAATGACTTTTATTTACGGAAATTAGGCCTAAGGGGGTTGTCTGCCTAGATGGGCTTCCGTGTACTCGGAGAAACAGGTCCAGAAGGGAAGGGGCTGACGCAAGGTCACTCAGATTCAGAACCAGGCCCGGAATCCCAGGCTTCCAATCCAAAGCTGTTTGGTGGAGAAAACAGCTGCCCTGGGCACACGTGGGAGGCTGGGGGAGGGGGTCTTGGACCCAGATTAGCGGTGAAGAGACTGTTCTAGCTGTCAGAGAGTATGTAGAGCTTCGGAAGGGTTTTTGCAGTTTCTGTGTGGTTTTCTCTGCAGCTTGCCTTCCGCGTGCTAAGTGGATCCCGCTCTACAACACTTACCTCAACCCTCAGGCTTTCACATAAACCTTGATGTTATCCTGCTACCCTGGTAGTGAAAAATAATTACAGGATTGATATTTTTTGAATAACTGGGATGTTCTGTCATTGGACAATGGTTTCTTTTGCATTTTCTTTCCTCTCAGATGGTTGTATGGTCTTGGTCTATCTCATATAGGGATATGAGGAAGCGTCAAGGTCAGTGGTTTTTGCAAAAATATTCCTCGAGGGTCGGGGATTTAGCTCAGTGGTTCCACCGCCTGCCTCGCAAGCTCAAGGTCCCGAGTTCGATCCCCAGTACCAAAAAAAAAAATTCCTTTAATTTATAGTGTGGTCCTTATTAAATGGAGGCTTCTTTGCGTGGCTGAGGTCGTTTAGGTCTTTTGAGGGGCAGGTGTTAGCTTTATGTTTTTGGCACAGTTGAGCTGCTTTTATTGGATAATTTTGTATGATCCCCTCACTTTGAGTTGAAGACATTGAATTGGGTGAAGTCACATGGGCGGTGAGTGGCAGACATAGGGTTCTTTCCTTTTTCCCATTTTCTTTTTCCCTTTTTCCCATTTCTGAATATTCATATGCCCTTGCCCTCCCGTATATATTTTCAAGAGGGTAGGGATGGTGTATACAAGGTAGGTGACAGATGAAAAGAACTAAATGCAGAGTTCATAGTTTGACTCATTACATGTTTCTGCAGCAGCTACCTGCCAACTTTTAAAGTTTTTTAACTAAAAAGACTTTTTTTTGAGACAGGGTCTCACTATATAGCCTAAACTGGCCTGGAACTGAGACCCTCCTATCCTTGACTCCTGAGTAGCTGGGGATACAGACACCGGACATTGTGCCTGGCCTCAGCACCTATTAATCTTTGAATCCAGATGTTCACCAGTTAACACATACACAAGCTCATCTATGGTGGTACTTGCCCACTACTCAAAAGTACAATAACTGCATTAACTGAGTGTTTACTTGTAGGCTAACTCCTCCACGAGATAGGTAAGATTATTGGTGTTTTGTTTTGTTTTGTTTGAGACAGGATCTTGCTATGTAGTCTAGGCTGGCCTCAAACTCACAGTGATCCTCCTGCCTCAGCCTCCCTAGTGCTGGGATTACATGCTCTAGACTATTGTGAACATACAGGAAATTGAAGGCCAAAGAGATTAATTTCCTCAAGATTGTAGCTAGTAAGTTGTAGAACTGGCATTCAAACACCATTCTCACTGGGGAGCCCAGCTCTTCTTTAAGCTCAGCTTGGCAGCACCACTGTTTGTACAGCATTATTGTACTGCCAAGGGTTTACCGTTTTACAGCTGTCAGAAACCTTGCCTGGGACCTCAGCTCTTGCTGGGTACTGTTGAGAGTGCACCTGAATAGGGCTGTGAGGTGATTTGTTGTGTGTAATTGTCAGGAGTTGAAATTCTAGTTGTGTCTAGAGTTGAGAGAACCTTTTCGTAGATACATTTGATTAGTTGAAACATTTTTGCAGTGCCTCTTGCATTACTTGTAATACATTACATTTTTGTTTTTGAAAACTACCCATGAACTTTTGTTCTTTCTTTTTTGAGGGGTACTGGGAATTGAAACCAGGCCTGACACTGAGCTACATCCTCATCCTCAGCTCTTTTTATTTTTCATTTTGAGACAATGTCTTGCCAAGTTGCTGGACTTGAACTTGTGATCCTCCTGCCTCAGCCTCAACACTTGGCTTTCACCCATGAACTCCTACTTGATAATTCATTCTCCTTTTGCTGTGTAGTTTTCAACACTTTTTTTTTTCTTTTTTGGTACTGGGAATCCGGCTCAGAGCCTTGCGCTTGCCAGGCAGGCATTGTACTGCTGAACTACATCCCCGGCCCCTTCAACACATTTTGTACTCTTGTGTAACTCGGTGAAAGAAAGCCCCAGCGCTTTCTTCTATCATTACTGTTAACTTAAAAGTGTTGTTTTTTTTTTTTTTGGTACCAGGGATCGAACTCAGGACCTTGAGCTTGTGAGGCAGGCAGTGCCACTGAGCTAAATCCCAGGCCCCAACTTAAAAGTGTTTTTAGCAGGGCATGGAGATGGACACCTGTAAACCCAGCATCTAAAAAGGCTAAGGCAGGAGGATGGAAAGTTCCTGTCTTAAGGGCGACTCATAAGGGACCCTCCTGTCTCTCTGGAGTTGTTCTTTTTCTCCATTCCCATTACCCATTTAATTTTCTT